GCTCCTACTCTAAGGGCACCCCTAACAGGGACTTGCAACAGAGAAGTAGAGCTGAAGGGCAGAGAGAGAAAAAGGGAAAACAAGGCCACACACAGTCTGGTTTACTGGCTCATCATACACACACACCAGGTATGTACACAAACATAAATATTCCAATGTACAAATTTACATGGGACTCACAGATCACTTTCCTTTCCTCCAGCACCCCCCCCCCCACCTGTGCCCCATCCGTCCCGGCTCCGTTCTAGGAGGAAGGCTTGCAGGGGGCTGGCAGTAGAAGGCAGGAATCTGGAGGAGGGAGAGGTCCTGCTCCCCTCTCCTCACAGGTACCTCCAAAGGGTCCTGTCCCTTTTCAGTGGCACCATAGGGCAGAGGGCTAGAATAGCCCCACTCCCTCTCTGCTGCAGCTCAAATCCCAGAGGCCTCCTCTGGTCCCTCTGTCTCTCCCGTTTAGCTCCTCTCTGCTTTGACGACTCTTCATTTCCTCTCCTTCCTTTCTGCACGTCCCTGCTTCTCAGTCTCTGTGTCTTGGCTCCCCCAGTGCCTGTCAGGAGGAGGGGCCCCGGGCCACAGAAGTCCTCCTGGCCCCTCTGCCCCGTCCGCGGGCCTCAGAGAAGGCTAGGACTTCGGTGCAGCTCAGCAGAGGCATTGGTGCCATTGGCAGGCTCTCTGTTGGGGGTAGGTGCTAAGCCACAGCCCTCCCCGGGGCAGCCGTGCTGGATCAAGATGTCTGCGCACTCCTGGCTGCCGGCCCGACGGGCATAGGCCAGTGGAGTCAGGCCCCGGGCGTCCCGGCTCCGCACGTCCACCCCGTACTGCAGAAGAAGGCACGTTTTCACAGTTGGCACGATGTGGCAAGAACGGCAGGGGTTCTTGGAGAGGTGGCTCTCAAAGGGGGGGGGGGGGGGGGGGGGGGGGGGGCTCAGGTCAGCGGGGCCCTCGAGGGTGGGACTGGCAAGGCCGGGAGGGAGCCCACAACTCACCCAGATGAGCAGTTGTGTGAAGACGACAT